ACTGACTAAATATCATCACCCTGGGCATTTTTGGTTATGCATAAGAAGTTGTTTTAAGTTTTCAACATATTTGACCACTGTGACCTTGAATATTGGCGAAGGTCATTTATTTGAACAAACTTTGTAGCCTTTCATCTCAGCATGCTACTGGCCAAATATCATCACCCTGGGCAGTTTAGTTATCGAGAAGAAGATGTTTAAATTTTTTTAACATATTTGACCCCTGTGACCTTGAAAATGGGTGAAGGTCATTAATTTTAACAAACTTTGTAGCCCTTCATCCCAGTTTGCTTCTGGCCAAATATCATCACCCTAGGCCTGTTGGTTATTTAGAAGAAGTCGTTTAAAGTAAAATATTGACGCCGGACGCCGTGCCACGGCATAAGCTCACTTGGCACTTCGTGCCAGGTGAGCTAATAACTACCAAATATTTGCATAACTTTTTCAACATGATATGGATAGGAGAGGAAATACCAAAGGAGTGGAGTAAAGGCCTTATGGTTAAAATATTTAAGAAAGAAGATAGAACAGTATGTGATAACTACAGAGGCATAACACTACTATCTGTGCCTAGTAAGGTATTCACCAAAATCATAATACAAAGGATCCAGGAAGGAATAGATAAAGAGCTAAGACAAGAACAAGCTGGCTTCAGAAAGGGAAAGGGCACTACTGAGCAACTCTTCACTTTACAAAACATCATTGAACAATGTTCTAAATGGAATGCTTCTTTATACATAAATTTTGTAGACTTCGAGAAGGCGTTTAATTCCATCCACAGGGAAAGCTTATGGTCCATCATGAAAGCATATCACATCCCAGACAAACTCATCACAGTAATAAAACTCTTTTATGACACATTTGAATGTTCAGTTATAGACGAAGGGATACAATCTGATTGGTTCAAAGTTAAAACAGGGGTAAAGCAAGGCTGCGCGATGTCCGGCTTCTTATTTCTGTTAGCCATTGACTATGTCATGAAACAAACAACAAAAGAACATGAAACAGGAATACGATGGAAATTTACCACCAAATTAGAAGACCTTGATTTTGCAGATGATCTTGCACTACTATCTTCCAAATTCCAACATATACAGCTGAAAAAAAAAAACTTCAAGAAAATGCCAGCAAGATAGGATTGAAGGTAGTACTAAAGTAATGTGGATGAACACCACTAACAACAACCCAGTGAGGTTGAATGCAAAAGACCTAGACAACTATATTTTTCAACATATGTTCTACAACCAACGCATTTTAGAGAGAACAGCGAACCATCGCTATTGGATATATTTCTGACAAACGAAGAACATATGGTCGACAATGTGCTCTATCACCCTGGGCTGGGTAAAAGTGACCACTGGTTATTGAGTTTTAACCTAACATTATATACCCGCACAGAAGCAAGTTTTACAAGTAAACGGAACTTTTTCAAAGCTGATTTCAAGTCAATTAAGGATGAACTTTCTAGTTTTGACTGGGAGATTATGGAGAGGATGACTGCCGTTGAGGCTTGGAATCACTTTGTTGAAATAATATCAGAAGTTATAGACAACCATATACCAGTGAACAAAGTGGAACCTAGTCGCATTAGTAAACATCTTCTAAATCAAGAGGCGGTTCAGGCTTTAAAGGAAAAACGGAGCAAGTGGAAAAAGTATGTGCATTGCAAATCCACGGTGAACTTTGATAAATATAGGCAGGCGCGGAACAGAGCTACAAATCTTGTAAGGAAATCTGTATTCCTCAAGGAAAAGGATATAGCACAGAACATTAAGACAATCCTAAACAGTTCTGGAGGTACACACGTTCTAAGATGAAGACCAAAGCAGCAGTGTCAAATGTGTACAAAGAAAATGGAGTCCTCACAATCAATGACCAAGAAAAGGCGGACGCATTGATAACATTTTTCGCGAGTGTAAACACAAGTGAGACGGATGTTGAATTACCTCCCTTTCCTAATAGACACTTGGAGTAGACACTTGCCGATGGGCCAATTACGGACGAGGAAATCTTGACTGCGGTCCAAGCTATGGACAGTTCTAAATCACCTGGTCCGGACAATCTGAAGTTCGTTAAGGAGACTGTACAGGAGTTACTAAAACCATTAAACATCATCTTCAACAAATCACTGGAGGAAGGAGTATTACCACACGATTGGAAAAAAGCCAATATAACACCAATCTACAAAAAAGGTAGGAAGCAGGATAGGGGCAACTATTGTCCAATCAGTCTATCATCTGTATTTGGAAAATCGCTTCAGAGAATTATCAGGAACAGAGTGGTGGAACACATGACTAGTAACAAACTGTTCTCGGATCATCAATATGGTTTTAGGAGCAAACATTCATGTAACCTTCAACTGCTTGAACTTATGGAAAGTTGGACGGAATCTCTAGACAACGGGAATGAGGTCGATGTAGTGTACCTAGATTTTAGTAAGGCCTTTGATCCAGTTCCTCACATGGGATAGACGGTAGTATCAGGAATTGGATATGTGATTTCCTCCAGGACATGGAACAGTGAGTAGTGATCAATGGCAAGGCATCTAAATCAATTTCGGTTACGAGTGGAGTGCCCCAGGGTAGCGTTCTGGGACCGATATTGTTTTTAATATACGTCAATGACCTACTGGATGTGACAAACAATACAGCTTAATTATTTGCGGACAACGCCAAAATTTTCGGTGATATAACATCGCCCGAGTGCATTGACTCCATGCAGGATGATCTCAATAACATAAGCCACTGGACTGAGACTTGGCAAATGAAACTTAATTTAGAAAAGTGCAAATATATGAACATCAAGCTTGAGCAATCTGTATCGGACCAAAGTTATACCTTAACGGGAAACATCAACACAACAGTAATTCAAAAGGTGGAGCACGAAAAGGACTTGGGGAATGATTTCGATACTAACTTGAAATTTACCGGCCATGTCAACACGCAAGCGAAGAAGGCCAACAGAATGGTGGGATTAATATTTAAATCTTTTACCTACATGGACGGGGCAATGTTCGCAAATCTATACAAATCTCTAGTAAGACCTCACTTGGAATACTGTACATCAGTCTGGTTTCCAATGTACAAAAAGGACCCTAGACTCTAGAAAATGTTCAACGTCGTGCCACCAGGTTGTTGCCACATCTCAAACACCTAAACTATGAGGAGCGTCTGCGAGTTTTAGGAATACCTTCCTTAGAGTACAGACGGGAAATAGCAGACATGGTAAAACTTTACAAAATATGCAATGGACTTGTAGATGCCAACATGGATAGAATGTACTTAACTAGGAGGAGTAGTAACAACAATAGGTGGCTGTGACAATGATATAGACAACAGGTTCAAGAATGCGAAAGGCCAATTCAGCAGGTTAAGAAAAATTATGGAGAACATCAGTACTGTCATTAAAAACAAAGGTCAGGCTATTTAACAGCTTGGTTATATCAGTTCTTCTGTATGGATGTGAAACCTGGAAAACAACAGAAGAGGACAAAAAGAAATTGTACACCTTCCAAACTAGATGTCTGAAAATAAGATGGCCCAACACAATATCAAATGAAAACCTTCACATCAGAGCTGGAACAAAGAAACTTAGTGACAATATTATTGAACGTTGGAGATGGATTGGCCATGTACTAAGAATGGACACCAACAGCATATGTCCAGTGGCACTGACATGGAAACCAGAGGGAAAAAGGAAGGTAGGACGTCCCAAAACCACCTGGAGACGGACTGTTGAGACAGAAAGAACAACACTTGGATGGAACAGCTGGGCTACAGCAAGGACAACAGCTAAAGACCGTGTCAAATGGAAAGAATGTATCAGGGCCTTAAATGCTGACCGGCATGAAGAGGATAGGTGAGGTGTGAGGTGATAACGTAGCTTCTGACGACAAGACATTTTTTTTTTATGAAATTGCGTCGTCAGAGGAGGCCGGGTATTAATATCAGTACTATACCGCATGGTATGCCGTTCTCACGTGCACCCACACATGCATGTTCGTAGGGATCATGATATTTACAAATCACTTTTCTTATACAGAGTTAGTGCACTGCATTTGTAAAAACGATTTACTTGACAGCAACAATATTAATTGTAGCGACCTCAAACTTGTGACCTGGTGTAAGCAGGTGATAAGTACATTTTATCAGTCCCCATTCCAATGCGCTGAACATATGACCGTCTTGAAGTCGCCTGGTCTCATCTCAGTGTCGTCCCGCGAGTCAATTCATGTCTTTGTAACCGAAGTTTTATTTCTGAAGTACATGTGATTATACATTTCTAAGTGAAGTCTCTGCAATATCTGGTGCTGACATATCATCATCGCGCATGTGCACTATAATTTACTCGGTGTTACTATAATTTACACTACGGCATTGAAATGCCCGATACGCAATACGGAACTGACGACATGAAAATATGACCAGAAAAACATGTGTATTACGAAGGGTGGGAAGTCAAGAACTGTATAACAGCAGGGTTTTTTTTCTGATCATCTCGGAAAGTAAAAGAGAGTTTCAACATATTGAAATGAGGGACTATTTCTCAAGGAGATGTTTATTTTCATTTTTCATAAATGTGAAACTTCCGATTTTTTTTACATCATTATTTTTTTAAATGAATACTTATATTTAATGTCTTTTGTAATCAACCTAATGATAAAATATTCTTTTTAAAGCAACTGTTTTGTTTTCCTTAAAAAAGAATATCACGTGAAAATAGCTCAAAAGACCTATTTCAGATAGGTCAATAGACCTATTATAGGTCTTTACAGCTATATCGCTCAATCGGCAGAGCTAGTGTACTGGACCTGATTATATGATTTGCATTATATATAATCATCCAATATAAACATATCCAATAGTTAAATCTCAGTATAGAGGGTGAATGATATATCCCCGGTACAATACACTAAAATGAAATTCTGCTGTAATTCTAACAACAAAGATACTGCCACTGATATACTTCACAATACATTTTCTTATGTACATTTGTATTACCTTGAGCTGTTGGAATATCTGTAGGGGCTACAGCAAAGTCCACCTGTATTGTACTGCTAAACACTTGCTCTCCAGTCATCCTCTTTTTGGCCCTGTAATAGACAGAGCAAACTGGTCAGACCAGCCATGACTGATCCCTCTGTAATAATACTCAGTGTGGAGTAACTGAGTGCAAATTGTACCATACAGGTGTAACAGGGATCTCACCACACATAGCACCACATGCATGTGCAGGCTCATTTGCATATGAAAGGACAGCTCTCCAGCTATAGCCAGGCAGTGTTTTTATTAGTGTACCAGTGTCAGGTGAAAAACATGACCAGTAAAGAAAAGAAGGAACAGTAAAGGTAGGCAATAGTTGAAACATACAAAACTACACAGAACTCCTTATGATACAATTACAGATTTGTTAAAATTACAATAACTTGCATGTGGTAGTTTATGATTTTCCAAAAATAACCTCTTCTTTTAACAAGAATGCACTGAAACTATATTATTGCATTATAATCTTTCAACAGGTGTTATGTACAAGTAATATATTTGTCTCAGTAAACTTATGACATCTAACCGGAGTTTGAAATATTCTTCCTACAATGTGATTATATCCATCCATCAATCATTTGCATACTTGTTCATACAGAGATGATTTTTTCCCCCAGTATTATTGGATTTATTATTTATTAATGAACATATTGTGTGTATCACGCTAGTACATACTCAACTTTTCTTACCAATTCTTTTACCATTAAGTATATGCACAGATTACATATTAATGACTTACTGTTACATAATGTGTATTTTCTGGGACAGTTCATTGTACATGAATTTCATATTTTTACTAAATATTTAAGATGAAATATGAACAAGAGGCCTAAGGGCCTTAGCGGTCATGATCACCTGGTAGCTCAATTTCGTTTTTGAGATGTGATATGGAAATCAACATGTAAACTAAGTGAAATACAATACTTGTCATATGTCATCAAAGGATAAGAATTTAAAAAATATCGGTAAAGTTTCCATTTGGTGCCCCACCCTAGTCCCTTGGGATGGGGTAGGAATCCCAATTTTACTATGTAATACCTTCATCCACCAAAGATGATTCTGAACAAGTTTGAATAATTTTCTGTTGAAAATGGATAAAATATACCCAAAAGTGTTATTTCCTTATATAAACTTTAGTAAACTTTACCCCCCCTCCACAGGGAGAAGGGATGGCCCGGGGGTCCTGAAATTGACAATTTCAATAAAGCTCCTGATGATCTTTCTATCCATGCACTGAAATTGACTGTAGTACCTCTGAGTCTGGAGAAAAAGGTTTTTGAAATATTGGCTAATTTTCCCTTTGGGACCCCGCCCTGGACCCTAGGGTTGAGGTAGGAATCCCAATTTTACAATTTAAATCCATCTTCCTCCAAGAATAATTCCCACCAAGTAAGAATGATTTTCTGCAGAAAATTGTCAAAATATACCCAAAAGTGTTGTTTCCCTATATAAACTATAGTAAACATTACCCCCTCCCCAAGGGAGAACGGTTAGCTCGGGGGTCCTGAAATTTATAATTTAAATAAAGGCTCTGATGATATGTCCATCCATGCAGAGAAAATGACTGTAGTACCTCTGAGTCTGGAGTAGAAGATTTTTGAAATAATGGTTAATTTCCCCTTTGGGGCCACGCCCTGGCCCGATGGGTTGGGGTAGGAATCCCAAGAAGTTGAAAATGTAAAAAGTCTATGCACGACGAAAGGAAAGTGATCGGAATAGGTCACTTGAGCAAAGCTCAGGTGACCAAACAAGACTTAAATGCACTGAAACTATATTCTTGCATTATCAATCTTTCAATCAGGTGTTATGTACAAGTAATATATTTGTCTCAGTAAACTTATGAAATCTAACCGGAGTTTGAAATGTTCTTCCTACAATGTGATTATATCCATACTTCAATCATTTGCATACTTGTTTGTACAGAGATGATTTTTTTCCCCAGTACTATTGGATTTATTATTTATTAATGAACATATTGTGTGTATCACGCTAGCACATACTCAACTTTCCTTACCAATTCTTTTACCATTAGTATATGCACAGATTACATATTAATGACTTACATTATGTGTTATTTTCTGGGAAATGTTCATTGGACACAAATTTCATATTTTTACAAGACATTTAAGATGAAATATGAATAAAACAATATAAGAAGTTCTGGTATATAATTATGTCCTTTCTGTCTTCAAAAACTTTTCAGTTTTAGAATTATTTCTTATGAAGAAATGATTTTGTTTTAATTCAGAAAATTAATGCACATGTGTCCCTGTTCACTCATTTTGTATGAGGATTCCTTTTTTCAAGATAGCGCCCCTAGTTCAAAAAGCAACACAAAAATTATCAGGGAGTACTCCAAATATATAAGAGCAAATTGCAGGTTTTGTTTTCTTTTTGTCCAAAACTACTTCAATATACAAACATAACATATATATAATGTGTTTTTTTCAATATGTCTAAATATATTTGATATCACTAAATCTGAATAATAATTATATACCTCCCCCACTACCAATGCAAGTCCCTGTGCAAGGGTGACATCGTGCTTGATATTAACTCAATACATATAACCAAGTTTCAGAACTATAAATTAATATTAGTCAAAATTTGTACAATATTTATAAACACGAGCAGTTGGAACAAAACCTTGGAGGGAAAAAATGGTCAGATTCTGACTGTCTGTACTTCAAACTTGTATCAAAATTTCAGGTACAAATGGCAATAGTGATTAATAAACAAGAGGCCCATGGGCCTTAACGGTCACCTGATATATTTATACAGAGAGTTGATTTTGTTTTTAACATGAACAGAAATATTATTCAAAGTGACAAAAAATAATAAAACCACCTTATTCAATATCAAGCATACAGATTTCAGACTAAAAAGGATTTGAAACTAGCACCTCTGATTCTAAACAAGGAAAATGAAGAAATTTTAGCACACTGACTCC